TCCGAGTGTCTGTAATCGATTTGTGACTTACTTGAATTTTTGCGGCACAGTCTTAGATCTTTCAGGTTAACATTTGATTGGGCTCCCACAGACAAAGTTAAATCATGTCTACCTTCAGTTGTTATATATAAAATTCTCGCGCACGGGCCGGTGCTGTTCATAAAAAAGTTTTACAACACATTATTTCGCCGAGCGCGATGCTGATGAAAGGATTTGTGAAAAGATCAGGAGGTTGACTATTTTACCAATTTTTATTCCGCGTTAGCGTATTTTCGGCACGAAACGTAGGGGACTTTGCCCCCTCACTCATACCCAAATTTTTGTTTGGGGGTAACGCCCCCTTCGTACCCTTCCTCCTCTGCTCCGCCGGCTATGAATCGGTGTTATGGGAGGCGATTGTACATGTAGAGTACTATTTTCTGGAAATTTAGAGAATGCAGGTGCCTGGTCAGAGGGTCTCAATGGGAGGATGGCTTCTACGGCTAACAGTTAAATTTTTGACCATTTTACGGGTGCTCAATTGCATTTTATGCTGATGATACCAAAATGTATAGGATTATTAATACTCAAGAGGATCTGTCCTCTTTTCAAAGTGACATAGATAAAATATCAGATTGGTGTGAGATGAACAAGATGACAATTGATACTAAGAAATGTAAGATCATGCGAATAACCAGGAAAAGGGACCCTTAGTTGAGGAGTATAACATTGAAGGTCAACCCTTGGAATATGTTAATGTTTATAAAGATTTAGGATTGTTTACTGTTAGTGGTGTCTCATGGAACTAGCATATAGATAGAATAACTGCTAAGGCCAATAGGGTTTTAGGGTTGGTAAAAAGGACTTGTAGGGACTTAAATGATGTTCAAACAATGAGAATGCTTTATTGTAGTCTTGTGAGACCCTTATTGGAATATTCATGTGAAACTTGGAACCCTTATACTAAACGTAACATTGACAAATTGGAGGCTCTTCAGCGAAGAGCTACCAGATGGATCACTAGGTTTGATGATGATTATGGTACTAGACTATCTAAATTGAAAATGTTGCTATTACCTGATAGGAGGTTCATTAAGGATGTTACGTTTTTGTTCAATGTAATTAATGGCCATTATGACATAGACATTTCCAATAACCTCATATTTTGTAGGGACAGAAGCATGACTTATAATTTGAGGAAAAATAACAAACAGGACCTTGTCCCAAATTTTAGCAGAACTAACGGTCTCAAATATAGTTTTTTTTAACAGTACCGTTGGTGAATGGAATAGCTTACCTAATCACATTAGAGAATCAGATAGTATTGAAACTTTTAAAAAGAAGGTTTCAAGTTTTATTAAGGATAAGGATAATTAGGGCATTTGTTTTAATATTTCAGTATAGTTTTGCTATATTAAATTTTTTTAATTCGAGGGGGGCATCCCTTGTATGGTGCGTCAGCGCTTTTGGTTGTCTCCGTCTTCACAATTTTTCCTTTTAAGGTTTTTATTAAGCTTAATTGTTATTCATGCTAATTGTTTGTGTATTCTTGTGGAGTGAATTTGTAAGAAATAAGGATAAATGAATAAAATAAATAAAAAGACAGTTAATATCAATCCATTGCTATCATCGGAAATATTGTTTACCGTTAACGGTTAAAATTTGTCAATTTTTACGGCTAACGGCTACCATGGCACTTTCAAGAAAATTATTTTACGTCATTTAGTTGTAATTCTACAAGGATAGTTGTGTTGTAGGCGCCCAGAATGATTAAGAAAACGATGTGAATGTATATAAGGACCAAATCATATGGGAGTAATAGTTTCTATGGTTTGAAGAGACTGACTCTCTGAAACGTCTTACCAATAGAGAGCCTTTGTGGCATATTTGAAATATTGTGAGGGAATAGTGAGATTGTGTCAGTGGCAAACTAAGTCTTTAGTGGGCTTGAGTAAGTTTAAAGGATTCTTATTGGTAGTATTTCTTAAAGGAATTGCTTCTTCGTAAGAATTAACTTAGGACTTGTTATTCAATAAAAAAGTTAGATGCCTTGGAGTTTAGAAAAGTTTCTCCATGTACTTTTGTTGTAAAGTTCAACA